CCTTCCTTCCTTCCTTCCTTCCTTCCTTCCTTCCTTCCTTCCTTCCTTCCTTCCTTCCTTCCTTCCTTCCTTCTCCCCCTTCCCCCTCTCTCTCTTTTTTAAAGACTGGGTCTCATGTAGCCCAGGCTGCCTCAAACTCTCACAAGCTGGATTCCTGCTCTTTCACTCCCCAGTGCTAGGATGGGATCTGAACACTCTGTCAACACTTGTACAGAACTTTAAGTTCTGCATCTTTTGCTCTTCTCATACTGGACTGTTTGCATAGGCTGTGGTGAATTTAACTGAATTATAATTTCTACCATTAGAAGTTTTGGTTAGAGAAGGGCTGTATCTCTGTATCCAATTTCATGGTAGGGTGGGCTGGGGGTCAGAACACTGCATTTTCCTGCCACAATCAGCCACTCAGCCAGAAATTGCTGTCTTTGTGTTCCTTATGGAGATAGAATCTTATACGGCAGCTCAACCACACTTGGAACTCATGCTGTAGCTCAGGTTAGCCTCCAACTTGTGGGTGATTCTCCTATCTCCACCTCCACGTTGCTGGGACTGTAAGTGCATGCCCCCACACTGGTCATTTTCCTTCTTCTTTAAAAAGTATTTTAATGACTTGTGTGCGTGTGTGTTGCACATTTGGAGGTCAGAGGACAACTCTGTGGCATTGGCTCTCTCCCTCCATTTCATGGGAGTTCCACCGATCAAACTTGGGCCACACGTCTGTGCATCAGGTACATTCACCTGCTGAGCTGTCTTACAAGCTCATTTTCCTTCCTTTGTTCTTTCAGTCTGTGTCTCTCTGTAGTCCTGGCTGGCCTGAAACTTCAGGCTTGTCTCAAATGCACATAAATCTGCCTCCTCCTGCCTCCTGAAAGCCAAGCTTGAAGGCATAGGCCCCATGCCTGATCCTACTTTCCTTATGTTTATCACTTTATTTTTACTTGTTTTTGTTTAAATAAGGGTCTAACTGTGTAGTCATTTCTGGTCTGGAACTGGCCACACAGGCCCAAACTCTCCAAGATCTGATATCTCAATGCCTCTGCTTCCCAGGTTCTGGGACTCAAAGCATGTGCCTCCACACCTAGCTTTTCCTCCTTTATAAATGGATACTGTGAAGTTGGCGTCACAATATCCCTACAGCTTTTGTGAGAAACGGGAGGTGTCCTAGTTAGATTTAATTGTCAGCTTGACACAGTCTAGAGTCATCTGTGAGGACAACCTGATTGAGAAATTGCCTAGCTCAGATTGGCTGGTAGGCAGGGCAGGGTGGGGACAGTCTTAATTATTAACTGATGTGAGAGCATCCAGCCTCATCCTGGGAGGAAGAGGAAGCAGTATTCCTCTACTGTTTCTGCTCCAAGTTTCGCCCTGACTTCACACAATCAACTATGACCTAAAAGACAAAAGGAACTCTTCCTCAAGTTGTTTTTGGTCATATTTTATTATGGAAACAAAGAGCCACTAGAATTTTTTTTTTTTTTAAATACTGGTGTTGGAGCCCGAGCTGGGGCATCATGCAGTCCAGCCTTACCAGGGAGCCGCACCTAGCTTTGCTGCCTGGCATCTTTGCTTTCTTCTGTGGACAAGGTCTTGCTATGTAGCCAAGGCTGGATGCTCTGCTAGGTGTGATAGGCATCCCTTTCATTGTAGTTCTTGCTGGCAGATTCTGTGAGTGTGAGGCTGTTATCAAGAAACTCCTGTTTCTTCCACCTGAGGCTCATGACTACTAGGACCATAGGTGTGTACCTGGCTCCTGCCATTCTTCTGAAGCCACCCCATGGAACTCCAGTGACCTATGAGAGCAACGGCCAGTTGCACAACAAAACCCCACGCTGGGCTGGGGAGACGCTGATAAATTGTTTGCCACACACGATTGAGGGCCTGACCTGGAAAGGTACAGGTTCACTATGGGACCCTGACTCAAGAGTGAGGCAGAGAGGGACAGCAGAGACACCACACCTCACACTGACGTTTGGCCTTCACACTCACACGTAAACATGTACACATGTATACACATGCATGCATACACACACACACACACACCCCATGCCTTTTAGGAGCAAACCTAGCCCCCTTGCTTGAAACTAAAAATCTAGTTAATGACTCCTATTAGAGTGCACATGCATTTCCTCATGCAAGTGCTAAAATTTAACATCTTAATTTAACCAAAGAGTTTTTAAAAATCTGACTAACACACTTGGAGCTAGCAAGCTCAGGAGTTGCCATAGCTTTTACAAGAGGTCTGATTTTCATTAAATTGTTCCATTAGTGGAAAACTACTCATTTCTGAAGAAAGTCTGGAATAAAGTAAGCCATTAGGAAACTGTAACTGCCACTGGTCAGGGACGTCTCACGGATCCAGGCTGAGGGTCCCTCATCCGAGACGCCTGGGCCACAAGTGTGGCCGGCTTTTGGAGCTTTTTAGTTCTGGAGGGTTACAGAGATGGCACTGGCTGACCGTGTCAAGTGTGGAGTGCTGTGAAGAGTCTGAACTGTCTGTTCCTTTCGGTGCTGGGATGAGAGCCACGGCCCTGCACACGCTCGGCATGCACTCTGAGTTTCCTCAGCCCTGGGCACGCTGAGCTCGTCCAGTATTTACAGGGTTAGATGTCAAGAATATTTAAGATTTCTGGATTAGGGGTTTCGATCCCTGCTTTATGAGATGCTGGGGCAACAGAAAGAAGCAGAAGAAAAGAAAACAAAACATAGTTTTTACTCGACACACATCTATCACATGCAGTGAAGGAAGAGGGTTCAAGGCTTTTCCACAGAGGGCATGTGTTGTGGAGACCTGTCCTGCCACTCCTGCACAGCTGCCGTTTGTCAACCTCTGTGTAATGTCCACAGCCTTGCTCTCACTCCTTGGAAACCCGTGTGCTCTGGCTGCCACCAGGAGAGGAGCATGTGGCCTTCAAGGGTTTCACGAGAAGTACAAGGATCACTGTCACTTTTCAGCAGAGTTTTCTCGCAATGTTGGGGATGGGCCCATGGCCTCCCCGCACAGGGGGATTGCAGGCAGGCGCTCAGGCGCTGAGCTGTAGCCGGCGCTTGCAGCGGCACTTTGCGGAGGAGCATTGGGATTTTTGTCAACAACCTGGGTGGATTTCACACACATTTTTCAAACTGTTGTGTGCCATGGAGGTTGGAGGTGATGACATGAGGTTGGAGGTGACGTGTTTACCTGTGCTGTGGGGGCAAAGGAAGCCGAGGCTGCACTCACCTCTCCTTCTCTGCAAAATCATTTTGCAGCTTCTGTTCCTTCTCCAGAGCAATGGTCTCGGCCTGGCTCTTCAGAGTCTGCTCGTATTCTCGGATTTTCTCCTTAAGTGCTTTTATCGTAACCTCTGCAGAACGAACGTCAGAAAAACCACCAGTGAGGGAAGCGGTTCCTTGCAGCGGGGTGAACCAGGCTTTCGTAACCCGCTGGGATTGCTGTATTTTAAACTTGAGCTTGTCCATGCCGACACAAAATCAATGGTTATGAGTCCCTTTGGGGACCTTTTACTCCCTCAATGTGAAATTGAACTTGTAGTATTCAGGTTGGGGAGGATCAATGGGTTTTGCCAGGAAGGACTGTGGTGGTCCCTCCAGCATACTTAGAAAAGGGAGAAATCGATGGTAAAACATAATATTGTCTTACTGATGCCCCTAAAGTTGGTCCTCCACAGAGGGCAGGCTAATAAAGTTTTGGTGCAGGTTTAAGGACATTTTGGAAGTAGAGTCAGACACAGACCTCATCAGCCACCAAGGCAGCCTTGCTGTTGTATGGCATGAGAAATGCCAGGCACTGTGGCTGAGTGTCCCCTCCTGAGCCGAGAAAGGGGAAACCAGCATAGAGTTTGGGTGCTGGCGTCCACTGTGCCCTGGTAGACGAGGGCTCCATATGTAGAGCTGATACTGTGGGGGCTGGAGGAGGGGCCTAGAGGTGCCCTGTGGGAAAGGTGGCTGAGGAAGGGCCACCTGCAGGGAGCGCTCAGAAGTGACTCCCCACCCATAAAGGCTGATGGCAGCCACTTTGGTTGCATGAGCAGAGGACACCCAAACAGCCAAGATGAATGGCCACAGCTCAGTGTGAGCCACCCACACCCTCCATTCTAACGCCGTCCGTGTAGGACTCCGTGTACCCCGACGGCAGCCACAGCTGGGGGCCACCTCTCACAGGGCCTGGCTGAGTTCCTCTGCAGTCCCAGCATCTGGCACAGCTGGCTGAGGTAACGAATGGAGAAGCAGAAACTGGCAGCCAGACGTGGCTGGCAGCCCTAGCTCTCTGTAGTGCCTCCTGCCAGACAACATGTATTTTGTGTTTCCAAGAACACCTGAATTGTGGCACATGCCTGTAGTGCTAGCATTTGTGAGAAGGCTGAGGTAAGAGAATTATTAATTAAAGGCTACTCTGAGCTACAAAGTAAGTTTGAGGATAGACTCAGCTACACAGTGAGCCTGAAGCCAGCTTGGGAGACATAGTGAATTTGAAGCAGCCTGAGTTACAGAACAAATTTAAGGTTAGCCAAGACTATATACAGTTAGCCTGACAGTGCCCTGGACTATACACTGAGTTTGAGGCCAGCCTGGGCTACATGGTAACTTTGAAGTCAACCTGGCCTAGACAAAACCTCTGTCTCAGAAGGAGCAAAAAGGCCATGCCACTGGAGTTAAAAGTGTAAGAGACTAGAAGATTTTCTCTAGGTATGTGTAACAAGCCAGACATTGCACGGAATTATCTGTCACCAGGCACTGGGCATTTTGAAAAACAAAAACGAAAACAAAAACAAATTCTGTTAGCAGTTGCTGCAGAACTTTGCTGTGGGAGAGAAAAGTCTCAAAGGATCCCAAATTCATAAGCCCAACACCTCCCTTGTAAGCAGGACAATGCTGTCCCTTGTGGTCACAAAGGCCATATCTTGATAGAATCAGATTGAAGTGGGGTCTGACCCCCAAATCTTCTGTATCCCAGCATGGATCCAAGCTCCAGTCAGTGTGTGATCACAGGCCCTGGGGGACCAGGGGCTGCTGCCCTCACACTCCAGTCCTGTTTAAGCCTGTCTGTCCTTCTAACTCTCCCTAGTCAGTCCAGTCTCTTCATGAACCTTCTCACAGGCAGGGGTTCTCCCAAGTGTGTTTTCACACCCTTCAGGGCAGAAGGGGATGCTCTTGTCCGTTCCAGTCACTGAGCTTTTTGCTTAGTTTTCTAAACGTTCCCTAACTCCCAGGGCATGCAGAGCCAAACACGTCGGTGCCCTCCGCCCTACCCAAGTCCTCTCCAACGTGCCCAAAACAAAACCACGAAGACACACAGGAGGCTTGGGACTCGCTTGCTTTATAAACCTCGTGACTGCTGGTGAATTGGGCTTTTTCTTCAATACAAGGAAGCCAGGAAGCTCTGGGGCTTTTTGAAGCATTTGTTTTTATTTTCTATTAATGGATAATCGAACCTAGGGCTTTGATGATGTAAGCCTGGGCAAACACTCAACCACTGAGCCACACCCCCAGCCCCTCACGGGAAGATTCTCAACCATTGAGCTATATATCCTCAGCCTTCTTTCTGCTCAGAGTAGCCTTGAACTCAGCCTGTAACCTAGGCAGGCCTTGAATTTTGAATCCTCCCACCTTGGCCTCTGGAGTAGCTGATACTGCCGTCTGTACCAGGCCAGGACAAGGTTCTGAGATTCTGAACACACCTGGCTTTCAACTATAAGACAAATTTCTTTATGTTTGTTTGGGGCAGGAAAAGTCTTTGTCTCCTATGCCTTGTGATACAAAGCAGCTCTACTAAGAGCCTGTTTCTTTCTTTTTCACAAGATCCATAATGGCAGGATGAGGCCTACATGGAAGAATGGTGTGTAGGCACACAACTTGCAAGGATGCGTCTTGTCTGGAGCCTTAATGGATTGGCAGCAATGACTAAATGACTTACTGTGTATGGCCCTTTGATCAGGAGCTGGCTGGCTGACAGGTGTCCCCAGAGGCGACACATCGGTCTTTGAAAAGACAGATCCTATCACAAGATGATACAGGAGGAATTTTCAAAGCCTCCTGATCCGCCCCAGACCAAGAGCAATAAAATCCTATGTAGTTATTGTAGGAGGGAAAGTTTAGCTGCGGCATACCTAGGCAGCGCCATTATATTTGTTTAAGAGACTCGGCTGCTTGCCCCAGCCTGGCTTCATGAGGAGGGTAACAATTATAGCCGGTCCCAACAGTATGAAGAAGGCAATTGGGGGGGTGGGGGGGGACAGAAAGCAAAGCCTGACAGGCATTTGCCACCGACCTTGATTTTTCACTTCGGCAAACTCCTTGTTGTATTCTTCTAGTGTTTCCCTAAGTTTCTGGTTTTCCGTTTCAATGTCGTGTAGACGCTGCACTTTTACTTCCAGCTGTTGCCCGAGGTCCAGGGCTGGCACGGGATCTACGCAGTGGGAGAACACAGGTCAGCACACGCACCCAGACCCCTCGTCTGGGAAGCACTCTTCCACCAGCCCATGCTCTCAGCCCCTCACTGGCAGACAGTAGGCAGTCATGTTCTCTGAGACACTCCTAGTTCCTTACTTGGGGAGTCTCAGTGTTGTAACTCTGAGCCACACCCAGCCCCTTACTGGCAATTCTAGGCCAGTATCCAGAAATCACTTCCTGGAGACTCTCGGGGTCTCAGTTTCCCTGCCTCCCTTCAAGGCCCCTTTGGCCACTGGCTATGTGGGTAGAATAGCAGGCGTAGTGAGTGGAAGGAAGCGGGCTCCACGGCAGCCTATCGTATCTGCAGGACCTTCTGCGGGGATACTGGCCCACGGAAAGGTGCGTCTTCGTTGAATCTGTCTAGGAAATCCATTGACCTGGAACCCAGGGAGGTGCTCAGGCCACAGAACACTTGCATGGACAGGACAAGTTCTTACAAGAGTCTCGCCACGACAGAAGCAGCACTGACATTCACTGCAGAGGAAAGGCTGGCCCAAGTTTACCTGGCTGGAGGGCCTAAGCCTGCTGACTTCAGGTGATCACTATTCTAATCACAGAAGCTCGGAGAGCAGAGACCCTTGGGCTCTGTAGGACATGGTCCTTTTCTTTCTCTTCTTTTCCTCTTTGAGGCAGAGGTTCATGTATAGCATGCTGGCCTTGAACTTCTATACCTGAGGTCCTAGGATTAGAGGTGTGTCAACCACACTTAGACCACGTGCTAGTGGGTACTGAATCCAGCACTTTGTCATCAGCGCTTTGCGCATATTGGACTTCGTATCTACAGCATGTAGTCCTTCACTGATGCTGGGTGCTAAGAACAGCCAAAGGCATGCAGCTGATGGTTCTAATACTGGAGACCCCTGTAAACCCACAAGTGGTGGTGAGCTGCCTCACCCCTGCAGCCCCAGGCCAGCCGGCTAGGGAGCCTCCACGTTCCCTGTCAGAATACAGAGAGCAGAAGAGCACTGGGCTGGGCCTATGGAACCCTGTGGACAAAAGAACATGCTGTCTGGGGCGGAGAGATGGCTCGGTCAGTAAAGAGCTTGCTGGGCAAGCATAAGGGCCTGAGCCTGAGTCCCTAGCACTCACATAAAAAGTCCAGCGTGGGCACTGGTAACCCAGAAGTGGGATGGAGACAAATGGATCTCTCTAGCCCGCGCCAGCTAGCCCTGCACGATTCCTGATGTCTACACGGTAGTTAGCTCCTGAGAACAACAGCTGGCGTTGACTTCCGGCCTCCACACATATGCTCACTCTACTCACACAGACTGTCCTCCTCCCAAAGAAGAATGCTACCAGGTTCACTCAGTATTAGATTTTAGTCTACAGTTGGAAAAAAACAGTTACGTAATGTATAGGACTGGCTTTGGCCTCTGGCTTTCCTAGACAGACAGACAGACAGACAGACACGGAATGCTGTGAGTGAACTGCATCTTCCTTTTCCTTCTGTCTAGGAGGCAAGGATAACCCACCTGCCCAGGGGAACACACCCTTTGGAATTCTGAGAGTAGAAGAGTACCCAAGTCACAGGGCTTAGAAAGATTACTGAATCTATTTCAGGCAGGGGCGCCAGCCTCGCCTGGGGATGGCTGTGGAGATTTAGTCTCCTCTCAAGGAATGCTAAACACCACGCATGGCAGAGCAGTGAGGGTATATATTCAAGAGCTCACTTAACTTCCCAACGCCAGAGCCATTAATTTTTCAGACCACCCCTGGTTCCTGGGAGCAAGGGCTGGCCCACCATGGCTGTGTGAGTGCTGTCTCACCAGAGCCTGGACTTCTCTGCGATGTGAATGCATTCAGAGTTTATTCCATGCGTCACTAGGATGTGAGGAGCTGGAGTCTGCAGCCCTGAGGGAGCCCAGCACTGGGCTTAATACCAACACTGTCCATCATGTAGCTCTGAGGCTTGCTGGACACTTGCATGCCCTGTATACACAGTGCTGCCTGCCCCCCTTTCTCATTCATGACTTTTCATTATTATTTTAATCAGCATTAAAATATTTATGTTATGTTAGATTGCGAGAGCTATTTTGGGAACACAGTGCTTCCAAGCAGGAGTTGCAATAACCAGAAAAATGGAATTCTTGGGGCATCCCAGGTTCCCAGGGAGCATGAATCTCTCGCTGCCCTCCATGTCTTCTGGCTGGAAAAATGGATTGGAAAAAAACAATGACTGCTATGCCCACAACCCCTTTATATAGAAGGTGACCCTGGTCAGGGACGAAGAAGGGAAGGTATTGGACTTGGATGCTCACTGACGCTGCTTTGCAGCACAACTTCTAGCACCAAGCTGACGAAGAACTAAGGTTGCACTCTGCACACACAAGTGTGTGTGCACCTGGACACGGTGTTGCTGTGGGCACCTCCACAGTCTTTCTCCACATTGCTGACAAGTGTCTTTCAGAACTCACTCTGTAGGTCAGGCTGGCTGCCAGGCAAGCCCCAGGAATCCACCGGCTCCCACTTCCCCAGCTCTGGGGTACACAAACTCACAGGAGCTTTTTACATGGGTCTTGGGGATAGAGCTTGGGTGCTCTTGCTTGCCAAGCACTTAACTGACGAAGCATCTCCCCAGCCCCTCCAGGCCATTCCTATTTACAGGCCAGGACCCAGTGTGGCTGCTTCTAGTGAAAAAATAGCTTCCATCTTGCCGTTCATCAGGAATCCAGTAACAGATGAAGAGAACACATATGTTCTCAAGCAAATAGTAACCAACTAAGCCTTTAGACAAATTCTCAGCACGCCCTGCTGTAAATGGAAGTTCTAGCACTCTGGTAATTATTCATTATGGCATCCATATTTAATTTAACAGTATTAAAGTTAATGTCAAAGCAGCAGAACTGGCCACAGAATAGAAAAGGAACTGAATGTTCAAACAGTTTGATTCATCAGACTCTCAGCTTTACGATGGGGAATTGTATGACTAAAGGCAGACTGCACTGGAATCCTGTTTTGGGATATGTAAAAGCCATTGGTAAAATACCTCTTAGGCTTAATTTTTATTATGTGTATTAAGGGTATGGCTAATTACCACATGATGGTATAATAGTCCTAGCATGTTTGAGCTGGAGACCAAAACAATGAACTTCGGCACGCCAAACCCCAGCCTGCATGTTAAGCTGGGGAAATCATAGCTTTCTGTCTCGTTAACGATTTCCAATGCCATTTAAACTCCACACAAGCATTGTTAGGTCTCAGGCTCTATGTCAGAAGCCTCGGATCTCAGCAGTTCAATTACAGAATTGTCTGAGGGAGGAGACAGAACACACCCATAGACAGAATAACATGCAGAGTCTGTAAGCCACCCGCCCAGCCTCCAACCCAACATGCTTTGCCACTATCCCCATCCACCCACATGACAAACTCAAAGGCATCTTCCGATCATCTGAGAAGTTAATTCCTGAAGCACGCTCAGAGGTAGTGTGCAGTTCGTTATGCAACTCAGGACTTAAACAGCATAATTATGTAACAAACAACCCTATCACCTGGATTTATTCAGCACATTTTGCTAAGCGCGGTAACATTAGCTCATTAATTCTAGTCATCCCTGCAGAAGCTGGGGAAGGGCATGCTGGGCTGTGTCAGGCGCTGGCATCTCCCCAGGGACAGGGATGAGAAGGAGCTGGCCAGGCCAACAGGTATGCAAAATGCTAATTAAGAATTCGACTTCCTGAGCCGGCAGCCACCTCAATTACGCTGTCTCTTCGTGCACTAATTTAACAAGGGTTTCCTAAGTGGCTACATGATCTGGGAAAGGCCAGGGTTGGGCACTGCAAGGGACACTGAGCCAAGTCAGCAGGAGCCAGCCTCCCTGGAGAGGTAGCCCAGGTACCTCAAATATCAAGGATAAAGCAGAGAACAGCCACACTAAAGATCAAGTGAGTGGAAAGGGATTCCATATAAATGGGCAGAGAGGAGCTTTTTTTCAGTAAGAAGAGACAGATGCTGGAGCAGTTGCAGTAACAGAGACACAAGGGGAACTTAGGAGCACAGTGCCAGGCACCAGAACCATCGTCACCATCAAAAGTAACTGATGTTAATTTTATGACACCAGGGTGGTTCTGGGTGCTAAAGGAGTATGTGATAAGCAAGGCTAACACTTTGCTCTCAAAGGCTTACCAAAGGAGCTGGGGTACAGACCCCAGCACATTAACCAAAAAACTGAGAGGAAAAATACCCATAGTACTGGGTACAAATTTCAAAACTCTATTCACATTTATTAATAACAGAGACGTAAAATCATTTCTCCCTGTGGTACTGTGGAAGGAACAAGAGCCTTGAGAATGCAAGGCCAGGGCTTTACCATAGAGCCATGCATGCCCCGAGCCGAGCCATTCACTAAGCGATTCCAGGTGGGCGTGCCCCCAGTAAGAAACTGAGTGAAGTCAGTATGGACGCCAAAGCCTGGCGAACACCACCAAGCCCCTTGGTGGCCCTCCACAGATGTACAGCAAGTGTTCCCCTCATATGCACAGAGAACAGCCATCAACAGCAGGCAGAGTGCAGACAAGTCTCGATAAATTCAAAAGAACAAATATCATCCAGAGCACATTCTCTGGCCACAAAAGAGTAAAACATGCCTGGACCTTGTAAGAACGTAGAAAGAAGCAAATCAAATGCCAAGTAAGCAGAAGTAAGCAAGGGAGATGGGGAGCAATAAAACTGAAAAGGCAAAAAGAAAAAAAAATCAATGCAAACAAAAGCAGGTTCTTAAGAAAAACAAAACAAAACAAAACAAAAACACCGAAATTGATTAGCTTCCAGCCAGACTGATCTAGAAAAAACACATAACTTACAAATCCCAAGATCTGAAAATGACAGAATGGATATAATGGCTTCTCTCTCTTTCTGACAGGTAGGATAGAAATCAGTATGTACCAGATCTCACAGAGATCTGTCTGCCTGTGCCTCTGCTGGGATTAGAGGTGTGTGCTATCATAATTGGCCCATTTC